CTAATGATTAAGAGATCGATTAAGAGTAAGGAAACACATCAATAGTCCTATTGGATGGCACATGGCACTCTCCTTTTTCTAGAGCCTCTAAGACAAACTAACGCATATCTCAAGAGTGCGAATGAGGTTCTGGTTCTGCTCCATGAGATGGTTTTGGCATACTGCTCCCCTCAGTTTTTTGATGTCGATTAACTGTGCTAAGCGGCTGTGATACATCAAGCACTCCTTTCCCATTCCGCCAGTTGTGGCGAAGACCAAAGTTGTAAATTTTCCATGTTCAATGTCGAGAACTTTCCTTGAGTAGAGACGCTTTTTCTCGTTCTCATGGATACGATAAATTTGGTTTTCACAGTGACGTCATCAAATTATAAAGTCAAAATAGTGAAGTTTTACGAATTCTTATTGACACCAGGTTGAAGATAAACAAAAAGTAAATCTTTGAACAAGTTTCCATTCCCGTAGCAAGTTTCATTTCGAAAATACAGCAATTTGAACTTCTGAGTTTCACAGTACGTGACACCAAAATAGGAATGCTGTCTCGTTGAAAAAAAGTCTCACCTCTTGATTTTCAACAGTATAACCATTTCAAGTATTAGAAGATATGCTTATGTGCACGTATACTAGTTCTCGAATGAAAAGAAAGGGCTTTTATAGAAAAAATGAACTCCACATGTTTTTGTTGATTTCCGCCGGCCATGTTGGTGCACCAAAACGGTACACCAATATGGCGTCTCCGTACAAAGCTCTACAAAGGTGCGTGAAACGTTTCGGAAAATAACTCAGAAACTGTGGGTCACAAAGACCTGACTCTTGGACAAATTGTTTATATATTAGTCTTTTATAACATTTCATTTTCTTGGATACTTCTAGAGAACGGTTCCGAATACATTTTTTTATTGCGTGACAGTGAAAACGATTTATACGATACAGCATTAGGGTGACAGACCCTTGCATCGAAGAATGCCGATCGATGGCGCTCCCAGAACCCACGTGCGTAGATATAACCTCACATCCAGATCTTCAATGAGATCCTCTGTTTAATTGATCGCCGGAGATGTCCTGGAGGACTGGCTCGATCTCGACATCGCTGCACACCATACTCAGAAATTCAGCTTCGAGATCTCTTAGCTCGTTGTGGCGTTGAGTAATAAAACCTCCTAGTTTGCAAATCATAGACTGATCAATCGTAAAGGTTTCCCCACAAGCACATGTGGAGGGGATATCTTCCACAGGCCAGTAGTAGCGTAGTTTAACAGAATCCCGGAACTCCCTCTTATTCAGGTTAAAGCCCAAATCCTGGAGAGGAAGCACTGTAAGCCATCATGCTGATGGTCCCTTTTCTGCCGCCAGATCTAGTGCATGCTCGCTGAGTCTTTCTTGGTGCCATCTCCTTAATACGCTTTGCCCTGTGTTCGACTTCGTTTAATCTTTCACTTCTTACTTCCTGTTGTGCTAATTTTGTGAGGGTTATAACTGATGTGACTGAGATACAATTTATTCAACAAGGGGCTTCGTTACTTTGACAGACGAAGCATATTAATCATAATAGCATAATAATAATTTTTATTATTATTACTATTATTATCATTATCATTATTACAAGTGATACCGGTGAAAGTAAATTATAATTATTTTACGCTCATATGAAGCTTCGAGTTTTAACCTTAAAATAATTTGATCAATATACAAATCATGTCCAGTAACATACAAATCATGTCAAAGAGAAAGTAAAATTAACTATTACAGCTGATTCTTAAGTCGCGATACAAGCCGTTTAATTAAATGTATTTACAAAGAGAGATAAGAACTGCTCTTACTGAAAAGAAAACAACAGCTTAATAACAGGCTGCAAACCACTAAGCTGAAACGTATGTCATGTTAGGCCCCTTTTAAACGTGGAATTTCTTACGAGTGATGCCGAACACCTATTTTAGTCGATCAAAGTAATTAAATACGGCAGTTGATTCAGACGTCGGATATGATGGTGCCGGATTTAACTCCGTTCGTTGAAAATATTCCCAGTCTCTAAGAAAAGTTTTTATCCAATATGGATAAGGGTGTCTATAATTAATGTATTACATTCGGCACATGTGAAATGCGACTTCTAAATCAAATGTTGAACCTAAGTCGAATTTTCGACTGTTTAGTGGCAAATTCGACAAAGTTGTATTTAATTTGAAACTGTCGAAATTAGTTGATTCAGACGTCCCATCTTAAAGCAGTTACCTCTCGAATTAAATTAGGCACATGTGAAAATCGACGTTTGAGCTGGGTATATAAAATGATAACAGTGTCCAGTATTACTAAAAATACCGGTAGATTCCGGTAGATACGCTATGATACTGACATACCGTATTTTTTATATGCTCTCCCACACTGTAGCAAGACTTAAGATAAGATGCTTTATTTTACGTGGCGCATGCTCTTAGCTACATGGATTAGTTAAAAAGATAACTTCCATAGCTAATTCACAGGTATGCCACTTGGGTTCAGACGTCGAATCTAAGTCTGTCAAATAAAATAGCTGTTGTCGAAAACAACGAATAAAAATTTTAAAAAAACGCTTTAATCAAAAGCATTTAAAATATATGAATTGAGTTCGGCAAGGCAGTAACAAGCATTTGAAACCAAATCGTGCAAAGTACCGTGCTTAAACCGAATTTCAGTCTGCAAGGCGGTAACATGACGTTTGAAACGGGCCTAATAGTGAAAAAGCATGTAATAAATGATATCTGTCACGCTTTTTTCTTTCTTTCACGAGAATAAGAAAACTTTGGCTGAAGCTTACTTTTAGCTTAGTGGCCCACAGTTTCTGAGTTATTTGCCGAAACGTTTCACGCACCATTGTAGAGCTTTGTACGGAGACGCCATATTGGTGTACCGTTTTAGTGCACCAACATGGCCGCCGGAAATCAACAAAAACATGTGGAGTTCATTTTTTCTATAAAAGCCCTTTCTTTTCATTAGCAACAACAACAACACCAAAAGCTTTATTTGCATGACCATAAAGGAATTGCAGTATTGCAAAAGCTATTAGTCTAAATTTAAGTACTAATTCAACTAATTAGTACGTGCAAAACATTACAAAACGTTACAGTTCTCATTCATTTGATCATTCATTGATATTAATTTGGTTCTTAATTCAAAGCATTGCGAGATAAATGAAACTAATTGACAGTTAATTAAATAATCAGAAGAATTCATAAGAAGAGATATTAAAGTATCGTGTGAAAGTGATTTGAAGTCAGGTATTTTAGTTTCTAGTTTGGAGAAAAATATGTCTCTGATCTGAGAATAAGCCTTACAATCTAGTAAGAAATGATTTTCATCTTCGATTTTGTTACTTGTACAAAAGTGACATATCCTTTCATTGCGAGGAATGTTTTCGTATCTACCTGTTTCAATTCTAAGTTGATGACTACTTATTCTAAATCTAACTAATGCTTTTCTCGAAGGGTTTTTTCTTGTTAAAACTAGGTACGGCGAGGGGCTATAGTCGTCTTTGATTGTACAATAAAAACTGAGTTTTTGTGATTGTTGAAGGGTCTGATTCCAGTAAGAGACGTATTTATTTTTCATTATGCCGATATACCTATTAACTATTGAGTCACTCAATGAATTACAGGAAAAGTCATAGTTTAGATCATAGTAGTCAACCATTTTCATGAGATTAGAGTAAAAGCTAGTTTTTCCGTTATGATGAAGGTCAATTGAAATTTGTAAGGCCTGTTTAACTATAGAATCTTCATCTTTACCTCTTAGATAGTCTAAGTAATTTAGAATCTTTTTATTTATATCAATGATCATGTGAAATTTACCGAGTTCAGCTCTACAAGCAATGTTGGATGCCTTCTTATGTACTTGTAAATAACGTTTACAGAATTGCAAATGGGTTTTTTCAATTGCAGAGCTGTCCCAGGACTTAAAATCTGATTTAACAAAAGCACCCCAAACTTCACTGTTGTAGGTTAGAATTGGTGAAATCATAGAGTCAAAAATTTTACACGCAAGTGAGGGCTTAAGACTATTCAAATCCGTGTGCCGCCTGAGGCTGAAGAGCGCGTGAAGAGCTTTTTGTCGGAGATGTTCAAGCGAAAGTGTAAAATTTCCGGAAGATGTAATGCGAGTTCCTAAGTAAGTATAGTTTTGGACAACGTCGATCACTTCATTGCCTATGCGGAAGTTATGTTCACATTTTCGAGTGCATCGTTGAAATATCATTATTTTGGTTTTCTTAGGATTTATTCTAAGCATCCATGAGTTGCAATATGAAGATAGTACGTTAAGGCAGTTTTGTAGACCAAGTTTGGATCGCGATAATATTATCAAGTCATCTGCGTAAAGGAGAGAGTTGAGTCTGGTGCCATTTGGTAACACGAAGGGGTCTGATAAAACACTGTCAAATGAGAACGCTAGATCGTTAAGGTATAAGTTAAAGAGCAGAGGGCTTAAAATGCAGCCTTGCAGCACTCCTCTTGCGTATTGAAAAGATGGCGTTTTGTTATTTCCAATCCTGACAGAGCAGGTAGACTTCGAGTGTAGACTCTTAATTAGACTATAAAACTTTCCTTGGACATTGATCTTAGATAACTTATAGAGAAGCCCATCACGCCAAACCGAATCAAAGGCTTTCCTAAAGTCAACAAAACACGCATATATATTCATTAGAGAACTAGTATACGTGCACATAAGCATATCTTCTAATACTTGAAATGGTTATACTGTTGAAAATCAAGAGGTGAGACTTTTTTTCAACGAGACAGCATTCCCATTTTGGTGTCACGTACTGTGAAACTCAGAAGTTCAAATTGCTGTATTTTCGAAATGAAACTTGCTACGGAAATGGAAACTTGTTCAAAGATTTACTTTTTGTTTATCTTCAACCTGGTGTAAATAAGAATTCGTAAAACTTCACTATTTTGACTTTATAATTTGATGACGTCACTGTGAAAACCATCTATAGGGAGCTGGAGCCACGACAAATTTATCGTATCCATGAGAACGAGAAAAAGCGTCTCTACTCAAGGAAAGTTCTAGACATTGAACATGGAAAATTTACAGCTTTGGTCTTCGCCACAACTGGCGGAATGGGAAAGGAGTGCTTGATGTATCACAGCCGCTTAGCACAGCTAATCGCCATCAAAAAACTGAGGGGAGCAGTATGTCAAAACCATCTCACGGAGCAGAACCAGAACCTCATTCGCACTCTTGAGATATGCGTTAGTTTGTCTTAGAGGCTCTAGAAAAAGGAGAGTGCCATGTGCCATCCAATAGGACTATTGATGTGTTTCATTTGCTTTTTCTTATCGATCTCTTAATCTTTAGTTACGTCCTCTTATAGGGAAATTGGTAAGGAAAATGAACAGCAATAGATTTATTTCTCGTCTCATGGATCAGAAACTTATCCGTATTATTAGAATCAGCGAATTGACGTTTATCTCATCCACTGGGACTTTTGACTTGATTTCTTTATAACTCTATATGATTTCGGAATTTTGAATTGGGAAAGCGTTTCGCCGGAATTTTGTATTGATATTGACGTTTTCTTTTTATCAATATTTTACTGAAGTTTTGTGCAGCTTTTTATATGTATTATTAATGATAAATTATTAATGAAATAACAACAACAACAACAACAACAACTAATAATAATAATAATAATAATAACTTATCTCGATCCGTTACTGATTACTGAGCCTCATGCCTGACATTTGGAAATTATTACATTTTACGTTATTGCATTATGTGGTAGAAAAGTTATTACATTTTGCGTTGAAAATTTTACTATATTTTGCGTCAAAGTTATCACATTTTGCAGCGACTCTTATTACATTTTGCGATAGTATTACAATTTGCGGCCTAACAGTGGGATCAAAATTCAGTCCGAAAAATTTGATTGAATGAATTTCACACCTGCTTACTGCGCTTGATCTTCGGAAGACGTCATCTCTAAGCATTCGATCGGTAATGTTTCGGAAAGTTTGTTCAATCTCGACAATGTTGTTGCCATTTGATAACATGTTAAGCCAGCTGTAGGGTAGCCTCCTGGTCATATGATCGTGTCACCACGAGGAGCCGCAAGCAGTATGTGACCACATTGAGACAACAACTCAAACGCGGTGAATTCTAACACTGAAAAACGGCTGTTGTTTTACTGACAAGTAGATAAGGTTGACGTAAAACTAGAAAGAAAAATACAATTGAAAGATCTTAATTACACGCGACGAGAAATGTACTAAGTAAACAAATACGAATACAAACTTAACTAGAAAATTACAACAGGCGAAATAATAAACCAGATGAAAGAGGAAAACGAAAGAAAGACTAATACCTTGTGAGCCTATTATAAATTTGTCCAGACAAACCAAAATCCATCGCTGAACTAGCGAGCGAAGTAATCTCTGACCGTCGAACTAACGATCATGCAACTTACAAATAACGGCTTGGTCACCTGACCCCAAAAGGGCGCGAAAATTACACTACCGCGCGGTCCTGGGCTGGCTAGCAGCCACATGGCTCCCCACAGTGGGAATCCACTGTCTAAAGTAAAGTGTTCCTTACATATTTATCAAACGATTACAAGTTCTAAGACAAAGTTTCGATCAAGCGTTAACGTGGCTCCTCGTCGGGGAATTCCCGGTCACTTTCCTTTATAAGAACCAACTTATGGACTGGTCGCTCGAGGTAATGAACAGCATCAATTCTTCGTCCTCGCTTGTCAAGACTGCGCGTGGCGATAGCAAGCTTCACCTTTCTGACTAGGCCATCTTCACTTGTAAAAGCGTCTTCAACTCTTGCCAATTTCCACATGTTCCTAGGTGCGTTCTCATCTTTAATCACGACAATGTCGCCTACAAGCATGTTACGCTGTGGTTTGACCCATTTCTTCCGCAGCTGGAGTGTTTGCAGAAATTCCTTTCTCCCTCTTTCCCAAAACACGTTTGCCAAGTGCTGGACTCTTCCCCATCTCTTGCGAAGGTAGATGTCCTCTCTAACGAATACGCCAGGGGGAGGCATCAGTACTTTACTCTTCATCGTCAACAAGTGATTTGGCGTTAGAGGTTCTGCTGAATCGGGAGACGACATGTCATTCAAGGCCAGTGGCCTAGAGTTGACTATTGCTTGGACCTCTTTCATAAGAGTACGAAAACTCTCATCGTTCAATTGGCTGCCACATTCTTCTAACAAGGGGGCAAGTACGCTCCTAACTGTCCTAATTTGACGCTCCCATGAGCCACTCATGTGGCTCGCAGAGGGGGGATTCATTTGAGATCGACCCATTCACAGTTCTCTTTCAACAGGCTGATGCGCACTTTATCTTGATCTATCTCCTTCAAAGCTTCCTTTAGTTCTCGATGGGCGCCAATAAAATTCGTACCTTGGTTGGACCTAAGCTGGCGAATAGGACCACGTTCTGCTTGAAAGCGTCTAAGGGCGTTGATAAATGAGTCAGTTTCCAGTGTATTTGCGGTCTCGATATGAATGGCTCGAGATGACATACATGTGAACAACACGCCATACCTCTTCACGTCCTTACGACCTTCTTTCACCACAAAGGGACCAAAGTAATCTACTGCACTGTATGTAAACGGAGCTGCAGGTTCTATCTGGTCTTCAGGAAGGTCGGCTAGCTTCTGGTTCTGCGGAGGGAGGCGCAGCCTTCAGCACATGACACACTTAAAAACAAAACGAGAGACGGCAGAAGTGCTACCAATTATCCAGTAACCGCGTTGACGCACTTCATTATGAGTCATTCCATAACCTTGAGGCTGGGTCTCTTCATGGCAGTGTTTGAGAATAAGATAAGTGATATGAGACTTTCTAGGCAGGACAACAGGGTGTTTAACATTTGCTGATATGATGGCCCTTCTAAGGCGTCCCCCTACACGCAAAATGCCATTTGAATCCAAAAACGGATCGAGTCGGTATAAGCTACTGCATTTCTTGAGGCTGTAGTTGCGCTGCTTGGCTGTTTTCCTGTCATGGAATTCTTCACTTTCTTGCAGCGATGACAAGATCTTGATTTCGTCCTTAAAATGCTCATGCTGAAGGCAGCGAATAATTTCTGTCTCCGCTTGACCAATTTCATTGACGTTCACCGGTTGGTATCTGACGACTTGCTCAGCTTCCTTTCCCTCCTTTAAAAGCTGTTTAAGTCGCAAGCAAACTGCTATAGCCCTCTTTGCTCTGAACCAGTCGGAAAACCGATCCAATCGGCTAATCTCAAAATGAACTGGATGTGTCTCGTTTGTTTGCGTCACCAGTGATGCTCTCTTCACTTCGGGGTCGTCAGAATCTAGTGGTTGCGGATTTTCCTCTACTTCTGTTCGATAAGCACCCGGACTCCAGAGGAAGTTTGGGCCTCTAAGCCACCTGGAATCATCGTCTACAAGCTGACGAGCTGTAAGGCCTCGAGAGGCGGAATCGGCTGGATTCGACTTTGATTCAATGTACTGCCACTGTTGAGGGCTGGTGTGATCATGAATCTGCTGAATGCGATTTGCCACGAAGGTGTGAAAGCGCTTAGTCTCGTTGTTGATGTAACCCATCACAACGCTGCTGTCTGTCCAAAAGAATTCCGATACGTCTTGGTAATCAAGTTCCTTCAGCAGCCATTGACTTATTTTAATCGAAACGACAGCAGCTTGCAACTCTAATCGGGGAAACGTTATGAACTTTAACGGAGCAACACGGGCCTTTCCCATTAGAAAGGAACAGTAGGCTTGGTTGTCCTTATTTAGAAGACGCAGATAGCTGCACTGACCATATCCTGCTAAGCTTGCGTCAGAGAAATGATGCACCTCCACTGCTTTAATTTCACCGAAACCCTCAGGTTTGTAACATCTAGGTATCTTGAGTTTCTCCAGCTCGTGCAACTCGTTTCGCCATCGTTTCCATTTCGGTCTAAGCTTCTCACCAATTGGGTCGTCCCAGTCGGCGTTGTTACGACATAAATCTTGTAGTATTTGTTTTCCCATCAGAATGAGGGGTGCCACAAAACCAAGTGGGTCATATACAGAACACATGGTGGACAGGATCCCTCTCCTAGTAAGTGGACGATCATGAATAACGATTCTGAACTGGAAGGTGTCTGACTCAGCACACCACATGATGCCGAGAGTTCGTTCTATTGGCAAGTGGTCACACGCGAGGTCCAATTCTTGTAATCCTTTTGCGCGATCTTCCGGGGCAACAGCCTGAATGACTTCTTTCTTATTGCTGCTGAACTTGTGTAATGTGAGGCCAGCCTTTGCACACATGGCTTGTGTGTTACGAATGAGGTCGACGGCAGTTTTAACAGATGGTACTGACTTCAATCCATCGTCTACATAAAAGTCTTTACGCACAAAGTTTGCCGCGTTTGTACCAAACTCCATTTCTCCGTCATCGGCCGCTCTCTTGAAGCCAAAGTTTGCGCACCCTGGAGACGAGACTGCTCCGAAAAGGTGTACTTTCATTCTATATTCCCCTGGGTCGTTCTTTATATCTCCTTTATCCCACCAGACGAATCTGAGGAGGTCTCTGTGTTCTTTATTGGCGAAGAACTGATGAAACATCCCTTTCACATCACAGGTCACGGCTACCCACTCTTGGCGGAAACGGCAGAGGACACCTGTTAAACTGTTTGTCATGTCAGGTCCTGAAGGTAAGCTCTTATTCAAGGATGTTCCTTTGTACGTTGCACTGCAGTCAAAGACCACTCTTATCTGTGAAGGTTTTTTGGGATGGTAGATCCCATGATGTGGAACGTAGTTAATCTTGCCTTCTCCGATCGCACCGTTTATCCTTTCTTCCAAAGGAACTTCCTCTGCACAATTCTTAATAGTTTCCTCCATGAAGTCAGTGTAGTATTTGTGAAAACTTGGGTCTCTCTTGAAACGCGCCTTTAGCGTAAGCAATCTTCTCAACGCTACTAGAGATTTGTTGCTGGGCAGCTTAACATCTTGTGAACGAAGCGGTAACGGCATTTTGTAGTGGCCATCATTGGTCTTGTGGATACCTTTGACCAATATTTCTAGAAATCTTCTATCATCAACTGAGGGGGCTCGCATATGTGAATTCTTAGGTTCAACTATCTCCTGAAAGTCTCTTTCAAACATCTGCTTAACGCACGCAGGGCTTACGATCTCTTTCGTCCTAGTTTCCAAGGGAAAGCTTGTCTCCTCTCGTGACACAATTCTGTTCGTCCAACTTCCAGGCGAGTCTTCATAATCTCCAGGTGGAGTCTTACACACTCTGCCAATAATACCCCATCCAAGGTCAGGTTTGATACCATATGGATCATGGTCTGCTCCTGGGATCACTTCACGTGGCTTAATAGCCTTAGGACAGTTAGTTCCTATCAACAG